GGGCTGCAGAAGACGCTGGAGCAGTTCCACTTGAGCTCCATGAGCTCGCTGGGTGGCCCGGCCGCGTTCTCGGCGCGCTGGGCGCAGGAGGTATACAAGAAGGAAAGCGCCAAGGAGGCGGGCGCGGCCGCGGTGCAGGCGGCGGTGCAGGCAGCCGCCGAGCCGCCGCCCGTGCTGCACCTGCCAGCCATCCAGCCGCCGCCGCCCGTGCTGCCCGGCCCTTTCTTTATGCCGTCGGACCGCTCCACCGAGCGCTGCGAGACCGTGCTCGAGGGCGAGACCATCTCCTGCTTCGTGGTGGGCGGCGAGAAGCGCCTGTGCTTGCCGCAGATCCTCAACTCGGTGCTGCGGGACTTCTCGCTGCAGCAGATCAACTCGGTGTGCGACGAGCTGCACATCTACTGCTCGCGCTGCACGGCCGACCAGCTGGAGATCCTCAAAGTCATGGGCATCCTGCCCTTCTCGGCGCCCTCGTGCGGGCTCATCACCAAGACGGACGCCGAGCGCCTGTGCAACGCGCTGCTCTACGGTGGCGCCTTCCCGCCGCCTTGCAAGAAGGAGCTGCCGGGCACCGGCGCGCTGGCGCTGGGCCTGGAGCTTAGCGAGCGCAGCTTCAGGGTGTACCACGAGTGCTTCGGCAAGTGCAAAGGGCTGCTGGTGCCCGAGCTCTACATCAGCCCGAGCGCCGCCTGCATCCAGTGCCTCGACTGCCGCCTCATGTTCCCGCCGCACAAGTTCGTGGTGCACTCGCACAAGGCGCTGGAGAACCGGACTTGCCACTGGGGCTTCGACTCCGCCAACTGGCGGGTCTATATCCTGCTGAGCCAGGACTACACAGGCAAAGAGGAGCAGGCACGCCTGGGCCGCTGCCTGGACGACATCAAGGAGAAGTTCGACTACGGCAACAAGTACAAACGGCGGGTGCCCCGGGTGAGTGCTTGGCCTTTGTCTGCGGGTGGCGGTGGGGGTGGGGGCGCTTGGGCTTGGGACCTACTCGGCACGTTGGGTTTGGTTTTAATTAAAAACAAGGGAGTGCCGGTTAGCTTCTGGCAACAGGAGCAGTCAGGCCCGCAGTGGGCCCAGGAGTCAGGCCTTATGTGGCTTGGAACCCCAACGGCAGGACGAGAGAGCCCAGCCGAGACCCACGCCGATAGGGACAGTCCCAAGACTGGAGGCTGCAGTGGGCCAGCGTGTCCTCCACGAGGGGGAGGCTGGAGGGTGAGGAGTTAGGCTGAGACACAGGGTGGAGGTGAAGCCCTTCCCAGGCCGGCCAGGGGGCCACCCTCTCCGGCCTCAGCAAATAGCACTGTAGTTAGGGAACAGTGGTTTACCAGTGCCCCTAGTTTGCAGCTTGGGAAATGGACACAAAAATAAAGCCAGGTGTTTGGTGTAGTGGCAGGCGGCCGAGACTTGGCGACTCCAGGCCTGTGCCCTGGTCTCCTTGGGCTGCCAGCACACACCCCGAGTCCCCGTGGCTGAGGTCCTTGGCCCCTGGCTCAAGGCCTAGTCGTTGGCACCAGCGGCTCCCAGCTCTGTGTCCAGTGTCGCATAAATATGCCCTTGATTTGTTTTGGACTTGCCCCACTCGTTTTTTGCTCTTCCCTTTGAAATACTAAAGGCATGGCGCCACTGGCTGGGCCTGCTCTGTGTCAGCCCAGGCCAAGAGATCCGGCTGCCACCCCGGCTAGCCCGACCCTTGAGGTCTGCAGGACTTCTTAGTCAGCCCTCTCCCAGCGCGTGCAACTTTCCTCTTCAATATCCAGCCTTGTTAAATTGCACACACAGAATGCTGCTCTGGCTCAGCTATTCTTGGGAGGCCTAATTAATTCAGCTATTGCATCAAACTTTTTTTTCCCCCCCTGAATCTGTGAATAGATGCTTCAGCCCGGTTTGCTCTGGGCGCCCCTCCAGTGGAGTGTCAGAGCTGAGGGAAGGCGGGGCTGTGGGGGCGAGGCTGAGAGGGGGCTGCAGTGCCTGTGCATAGATGTGTGTGCACGAGCACACTTGTGCCCATTTGTGTGTGTGTCTGGTGTCTATTGGCCCCGACCAACGTGGTGGCGGCAGGTGGTCACTGGCTGGCATCTTGGAGAGGGTAGTCGGTGAAGGCTGCAGAGTAGAGCTGCTGCCTCCTTCCGTTTGGGTTGAGGTGATGGTTGCCCTAGTGACCTGGGGGCCTCTCTTGTGGCCACTGTGGCCTCGGAGGTAGCTAGGTGTGCCAGTGACTGTCGTGTGTTCTGGTTGGTGCAGCGGGAGGAGCATGCTGCTGGAGGATAATTTTTAGGCCACTTATCTCCAGAGTGGGAGGGGAGGATCCTGTCTAGCAGGGTGTGTCTGTGTGTTTTTTTTTTGTCAGACTCCAGGCCCTGTGTGTTTGTGGTCTTTCCGTTTCCTGGGCTTTACTGTGGGCCAAGCTGAGTTGTAAGCAGGGCCTCTGTCACAGCTGCTGTCCTAGGCCCAGACACCCTGTTGCCTAGCACCGAAGAAGCATCGACCCTAGCTCTGGGCACTAGTGGCTCGAGGAAGCCCTGGCCTCCCCACCTCTGCCCGTCCCAGAGAGGAAGGCTCACCCATTTTCTCACACCTGGGCAGCCCTTTCTCCTTTTCTGTTTCCCCCATTGCTGCTCTGGAACTGGATTTCTTGAAGAAACTGAAATTCACAAGTGGTAAAGCCGACATCATCTTAAAGGATGGGGCCTCTAGTCTAGTCCTGTGTGGCAAGAGTGACTTTGGCTGGTGATCTAGTGTGTCTCTTTTATTCTGGGTCTTTGGCCGACCCTAGCACGCATGCCAGGATGCTCAGCCTGGGCTCCATACAGCCCTCCGCTCTCTCCTCCTCTGCTGTCCCCTTTACCTCCTTACCTGGATAGCTTGGAGCTCGTGGGCACAGCCTGTCTTCATGACCACGCTGCTGCCTGCTCCCTTGCCCTGAGACCTTGTATTTGGAGTTCTGCAGTGTGTGGGCCCCGCAGTCTCCCAGTGTCCATGCTGTTCTCTGTTGACACTTCTGTGAGGAAGGGACCTTGGTCTTTAGGGTGGAGAGTGGACCTAACTGCCCAGAACCCATTTGCTGTGGAAGGAATTGTGAGGAGCTCTTGCCTGGATTCATGGGTGCTAGGGAACCTTGCTTGGGTTCATGGGTGCTTTGGAGGACCTCTGGCTCCAGTCCATACTGGTGTGCTGTGGAGGACCCCCACCTTAGGTCTGTTCTGGAGTGCTGCTCTGCTTCCAGCTGCTCCTCCCACTTGCCTCTTTACAGTCTATTTACAGAATGAGTTTGGATTTTTTCACTTCCTCTGTCTCTTATTTTAATATTTTTGATCTCCAGAAGAGGAGGACCAGCAGGAACAAAGAATGCATTGTAGCTGCTGCCTGCTGGGGTATAGCTCCCCGGCAGCCCCTCTGGGTCTGGGAGAATCCGAGTGGGCCAGTGGTGCTTCCGGGTGCTGCTGGCTATGGTATGGGCCCGCCCCGTGTCCTCCCTGGAACCTCTTTGCCCAGGCCCAGAGCTGGCAGACAGGGAGGTGGGTGATTTTCCTGATCTCCCTGAGCAGCTAACCGCATCTGTTCATCCGTCTTTGCCGCCAGCCCAGCCGGTGGCAGAGTCGTGGTTCCTGTGGTTGCCCCAGTGTGGGGCAGGGCAGGAGGCGGGGCACCCAGCATTCCGGAAACCCCGGTGGTGGAAGGTGTCCAGGTCCCCAGTCTGTCAGCAGTGCTGCGACGAGGTGACCGAGTTAGCATCTTCCTTGCTGTCTCTCCAGTGGCCAGAGAGGCCTGGGGGAGAGGAGGAAGTGCCTACTGCCCTCAATCTTGGGCCCCTTCTGGGTCAGTGTGAGGCTTGCTGGGGTTCTGCTGAGACTCGGGGGCCTGAGGAGAGACTGCCACGCCTCATGGATGCAGGCCTGCTGGCAAGTGTCCTGTCACGAACAGGCCAGCTTCAGTGTCCGGGCTGGCTGCTTGTCCTCACTGGCCTCGTGGCCCAGAGCAAGTTTTGTGTCCAGTCTGTGCCTCAGTTTCCTTTTGTATGTCTGAGGAATGCAGTAAGTTGGAGCTGTGGGTGATAATCCCGTTTATTTTGGGTGTCTGTGTGTTGAATGTCACAGGTGGGGCATCGACGTGCCATTTTGCTGCCGAGGACACAGGGGCAGAGAGCCAGGAGCCTCCATGCTGTAACCACCCTCCTCTTCTCTGCCTCCTCGGCTCGAGCCCTGCCTCTCGGGTCTGTCGCAGAGCTAAATTGGACTAAATTTTGAGCAGCATAGATTGCTGTCAGTCAGAAGGGAGACAGCTTTCCCCCAACAGTGGAGTTCCTGCTGCCGGCTTGGCCCGCCGCCTGGGACTCGCCTCCCTGTCCCTCAGGGCTTCTCGCTGGGCAGCCAGTGAGTGACAAGGTGGCACTGGCCCTTGTGAGGGCCCCAAGTGGGGCCCGCTTATTGCTGTTGCTTGCTGTTCGCAACATGGTCTTATAATCAAATCCCAGAGAGAATTCTGGCTGTTTCAGCTTATTATACAGACGCTCTTTCCCATACCACTGTTCTTGGAAATAACAGTGAGAGAGAGGCGTTTACATAAAGCTGCTGTTCATGTAGGTTCCGAAGTGTTGGCGACCTTGTTGTCCCTGGGTCAGTGAGAATGGCCCTGACTGGTTCTGTCAGGATCCTTAATGTTGAGGTGACATCATGTGCCATCAGGTGCCTCTTTCCTTGGTTTTCTCAGACGTTTGTGCTGAGAAGTAAGACTTTGCAGTGTGGAGAGTAAAGGGGGCCTGACCTCACCAGCCCCGCTCTGAATGTACTGTACCTTGTTCTTTCCAGCTGAAATCGCCACACACAAGAGTGACACATTGTTTCTAGGACATTCTCTCAAAAGGTGTACCAGGTGACAGCAGGTGTGGTGACACTAGATGCACATCTGTTGCATTTGGCTGCTTGGCTGTTCTCTTACTAGTTACGATGGTGACTTCTAAACAGCTGGACGAGAAGCCATGTGGTCCTGTCTGGTTCTGCACTATCTTCATAGAGCACTGGATGTGCTCCGTGCATGTCTTGCTGTAGGATTCTGTGGGGTTGAAAGGTAACACCTCTTCTCTCCCCTGGCTCTGGAGAGGTGGTTTGAGTGTATTGCTGGGTGATGTTTGGGGTGAGGCCATTGTCCGTAGTGCAGAAAGTTGGGGTTTGTGGGTCTGACTGAATGTCTGGAGCATAAAGGGCAGCAAAATCTCCTCCTTCAATTGGAAAAGCAGCGGCTTGTGTGTGTCCAGAGACAACCAGTGGACACACAAGTGATGGCAGAGGAAGCCCAGGTGCCCCCATGATGTCTTGATACCCGTTGGACCTGGGCAGCTCACTTCTGTGGGCTCCCTTGATTCATCCCTGCAGGTGATAAGAGCCGCGTCTGGATCTCTCTTTGGCACAGCCTGTCAGTGTGTCCATCCTTCTGTGGCTTGTCCTGCGGGCTTCTCGGACCCCTCTTGGGGAGTAGGGTCAGGTCCCCTGCCCTTGTTATTCCCTCCTGGTCCTGAGACCTCAGCCTGGTCAGTAGGACCACTGAGTGGCCCGCATCTCTGTCCCTTTCTGTCCCTGGGAACTCCTGGTCAGACCGGAGCACAGAAGAATCAGGTCATTGACTCGGAGGAGTCTTGGTTTCCTCACCTCCCCCGCCAGTCAGTGTCACGGCTGTCTGCAGTGTTGAGAAGGGAGGGCAGACAGGATATTGGTGCGAGGAAGTGTGGCCAGGCGAGGCCGGCCTGGAGCTGGTGTGGGGGCAGCCCCGCCAGGCCCGCTCCACACTGCCCCACAGCCCTGCTCCCGCGGGGCTTTCCTGACCGGCATCTGGGCGGCAGGATGAGGAGGAGGACAGGAGGAGGAAGTGGTTCCGGGGCCCTGCACCCTACTGTCTGAGAGCCGAGACTGGGCAGGAGGTGTCAGCAAGGC